ACTCTTAGGACAAAGGAAAGTTCTGGCACTCGGACACACTGGCCGTTCCGTGGTTGTCCGGGCTGAGTCTCAGGATGGTCAGGAGGCGCGCTGCAAGAATGTCCTGCCCTTGGGAGCCTTCTGCTCCTGGGCCGTCCTGCCCTGGAATTCTCCTTTAAATTCCCTTTAGAACAGTCCACAGAATCATCTCCAGAATCTTACTGAATCTTACTGAATCTCTCAGGCTCTCTGTGTTGCCTGTTTTTACCTGGAGGAACTACAATAGTATATTATATATATTATAATATATAATAGCATATCATATAATAGTTATCATAATATAACTATTGTTAGTTTTATTATTAACTATATATAGTTATTATTTATTATATAGTCTATATGTCATCATTAAAGCATTGAAAAGTACACAGCCTAGTCACATAAAATCAAAAATGGGCACACTTGGGTCCACCATAAATGGAAGCAGTATGGTATAATCACTATATCACTCACAGCTATTAAGTCTCCTGGGCACTAGAACAGTTCATATCAGGAAGGCCAACAGGTAATTCTGCCTCTGACACTAATATAAAAATACACATTTCCCAGTAATCTTATTTACACCTCCACTGTATCTATCTAAACAAAGTATCTAAATAAACAAATTCTGTATTTTTACTAAAATTTCATTGATTTTGGAGGGCCCTAATGTAATTCACTGTAATAGAAGGCAGGCAAGTAGATGGTCTGAATGGTCCCCCAAAAAACTGTCTCAGTTTGTCCAATTAATAGCTACAGTGTCTACAGCTGCTGGAGTAGCTGCTTGTCTGATGTATGGGCAGCCTTAGCTTTCATTGTAATTCTAACCCTATCTGGGAACCTACCCCTGATGACAAAGCAACTGGTGTGTTCAGAGTGTAAGAGACAGAGGTATTCTGATGCTCCTGCAGAGATTTCACTAAATTCACCAGCACCCTTCCTCTCACCTTAGCACGAGTGCAGTACGCCTGCCAGTTAAGATCTGCATCGGGCAGGACATCCAGGGCCATGTTGCAGATGCCTGTAGCCATCTCATGTTTGCCCAGGTGGAAGAACACTTTGGCCAGGCGATTTAGAATGAAAGCATTACTTTCAGCAATCTTAATAGCCTGAAAATAAAATATTCATTTCATTGCATTACAGGTGCTGCTATGAATATGAAACATTTTTTAAAATATTTATTTAGCGTCATGGCTTTTTAAGCTACATGTATAAGTTTATGGTTAACATAATGTCTAAAATTCAACACCATGAAGACTTCACAATAAACAAAATAATACTGCAACAATATCTGTAATCATCAATATCATTCATTGTTATCATCACCATGTGTTCTATCGACTTCTAACATGTAATAGAAAAATTATATTGATTAGAAAACATGCTGAATGTGCCATTAAAGGAAGTTATATTTCTTTCTTGAAAATGTGTTTAAGTCAGTACTCACCATCCCATAGCAAGACAGAGGGTCTGAGCCTGAATAACCACAATCGTGCACAGCCATGGGAACAGTGTAGAACTCCTCTTGTCTTTCCAGCATTATACCCATATAACACCATGCCAGGGCTGGGACACAGGAAAAAAAATGAAAATGTTGCAACAATACACATTGAACAAAGACAACAAAATGCTGAATTTTGTACAAGGACAAGGAGTTTGTTAAGGGATACCTTTGTGGGCTATGATATAATTATTTAATAATATAAAATATGTAAATGACACTTTCAATCATTCATCAGCAGAATTCCAGCACTGCTTCCAATTTTTTACACTTAAAGTACAGTAGGGAAACATTTCTCAAATGAAAAACAGGGCTGGTAAATGTCACTTATGCAAGGATGGTTTTGGTGACCCCCATCATATTTATAAGAATGCTGCACTTAATAAAGACCCAAACATGCTACATGCTTTGTCAATGTAAATTAGGAAGGCTTTATAAAACTATATCTATAGACTCTTTATTAGTAACTTGTTTGTTTGCCAATTCCAGTCTTCTCCAGCATGTTATCCACTTATGCAATAATCTTATAACAAGCTATAAAATAAAAATAAGCCACACATTAACCTAAAGAAGAATCAATATGTTGGCCCTTTAAAAATTACAGGTGATGCATTGCTGCATTGGGTAGCTTTTCTGGATATCATTTGATACCTATAATTGCTTTTGAGGGTTTATTGGACACAATTTTGTTGAAATCTTTAGGACCATATGTCTCTAGTAATCAAAAAAGCAAAATAACCTGAATGGTCTCCTTTAATTTTGGAAACATGCTTTTGTTTCTTTTTTCCAGGTAAGTAATTATAAGTTGTTTGAAGATATTTCTAACTCAACACAAGGTGAAGTCAGAGGAAGTTTACATTTTCTACAATGTAACCCACACAGAGAAAAGGTGTACCCTTGTAGTGCAGGTTATCAGACTTGATGGTTTCATGAAGCAGCTTCACAGCCTTGTTAAAGTAAGTCAGCCTGTGAAATGCTGACTCCTCCTTGTCCTTCAGCATCCCATCAAGTCTGAGTGAGAGAGACAGACCACAGAATTAATTCCCTCAAATGCAATGCATCTGCCATCTAAAAAAGAATTGGACTAACATTTTCAGAAAAAGCACAATTATAACTCTGCACAACAAAAATTAGTTTAAGAAGATACTGCATAATTAAAGTGTTGAGTGATTAAAAATATTTTTGGTTAGTATCTTTTTCTGTAGGTATTTTACCTTATATACATTGTAGCCATCTTGAAGTACCAACATCTCTTCTCTTCAATGGGTATCTAAAAATATTAGTGATGGTAAATACAGAATGGTAAATCAAACAAGATAACCAAACATGTTAATTGGATAATATGAATATAATCTCACTGACCATGTTCACAGATAAAGGTGGAAATATGATGACATCTGTAATGAACCTCATGTAAGAATTATTTTACAGATACAGATAGACACTGTAAACTTTAAATCCTTAATCTCATCTTAAGACGATTAAAACTAACACAACATTGTTTTTCTTTATTTCTCGAAGTCATCCTTTATTTCTTATTGCTGATTCTAACTTGACACAGGGATTGTCTGTCTGGGCTGCATATTGCATCGCATTGGCAAATTTGTGATCCCAAATCACACTGTTCAACTGTTCTGCTATGCTGCTGGACATTGTACACACTGTACATTAAATTATATTTGTGATTGACTCCTTTAATTGTAGTCTGTATTGTTACAATACATCATCATGCCCTCTATATCTAAACGGTGCACCTACTCTGTCCTGTTCCTAGTTTCCCTGTGCTTTGCTTGTCCTTCTGGTTTGTCTGTGTGTGGGGCAATGTATTTCCAGGTCACTCTTTCCTCCTCACTCAGCATTGAGGGTTCGGATGTCTTGAAACCCGCCTAACACCAGGTCGTCTCCTCCGCGGCCTGAGGACATAGGTTTCTACCTGACATTGTCTGACCTCCTGAACAAGGGCTAACCCCCGTTTTGCCGCAACACATACAGTAGTGTCTTAATTGCTCTCCTGGCCATTCCAAGGCATGCCTTTCCAACATCCATAACACTGAGAGTACACTGCCTGTTGGTGCCAATCATTGTTACTGTGATCTACAACAGTTAAAATTAGACTTTATAAATTCCTGTGTTGCATTTTGTAAAGCCATGCATTCCTGTAACTTATTGTACATTTCAGATTTTATCCATGTATTTATTTTGCATTTTGTTTTCAACACATTTAAGCAAGCATTGGATCATAATATATGCACTTTAAAAGATGGTATTTCCTAGTGAGAATGTACCCACAAACATCCCTTACATGATTTAAAAAGGTGGAGAAACCAAGGATATGGTTATATTTAATTGTGTTGACGGTTAAACCTGTTTAAAGGTACATTTATACACAGACATTCCATTCTATCCTGGCTCACCTCCTTAGATCCATACCCAATGGCCTTATTGTACAGCCCAATAGCAGCAGTCAGTCTCTCCCTGTGCTCTTCCTCACCATTCAGATCTACATCATAGGGGTGAGCATAGGCCTGCTCTGCCAGGCATCGGGCCACAAGAAGCCTGGTGTCTTCCTGTACAGTGTCGCCTGTTTCAATCCCCATAAGAGCAGACACCTTTTCCACACACTCAGCTCCCTTGGCCTCCTTCTTCAGGCGATCATACACATAGCCAAGGTTTGTCCAGGCGTTCAGGTTGGCTGGGTCCCCTTCACAGATGCTGCGGAAGATCTCCTCGGCCTGCTTAAGTTCATCTAGGTGGAAGGCCAGGAGCCCCAACAGGTTTTGGACCGCGTGCTGCTGGGACTTGGCCTCAGCCCCCAGCTCAGCAAGCAGGCTATCCCGCTTGAGTCGAGTGTCCCGGCTTCGTAGCTCGGCAGGTCCCTGGGGCTCACAATTCAGGTTCAGATCCAGGTGGAAGTGTCCTGGGATGTACTCCATTCCATCGATCAGGGTCTCAATGTCTTCTTGTGAGGCACTGTCCTCCATTGTGCCTGTCCGTCACTCGCTGTCTGTCTCTTTCTGTCCATACACAGTGCCGTCTGTTGAGCCTAGGGGTAGGTGCTCTGAAGTTTGTTCTCAGACACAGAGAGAGGTGGGGCACTACCTGAAATTCTTGTTTTGTGGATTCAGGTAAGAAGGACTTGTAGCAGAGAAAGATTCCCTGCTTGACAAACGGGTAAAGTCAGTTTACAGTAGGTTTACTTGAACACTTCAGTTTAAAATTTTGTTTTGCTTTCCATTTCACAGAGAATATCTCACTGCATTCAACTTTGCTTCCTTTTGTTTCAGTGTAGAACAAAACATAAAATGCATATACACAAAATAAAAATTAAATGACAAACCCATTTCACTTTTCCCTGACAGGTACAGGTGTACTTAATTGAAATATTATAATTTTGTTCTCAGCCAAATTCCAGGGAAAAGTGTATAGGCTCAAAGTACCCTCCACTTGTTATTCATTTGCTGTAGTCTCTGTTAGAGTTCTGAGGGCTTTGCCTCATACTTAAAATCATTGCCCCAAAATAATTTAACTTTTTCCTGATAGGTACAGGTATATAATTTAATAGGAACAAGTAAAAGGTTTATTCCATGCTGGAAACAAAGAAGAAAGAAAACACGTTTCGGGCGTGGAGCCTTCTTCAGGTGTCACTGTCAATATAATTTAATTGGTTTGTTCTGGTTCACATCTCCAACAAAATGTATTCTGGAGATAAAAATTTTGTCACAACATTTGTACCAAAATTACTTTATTGTCAATTACCAGTACAAGCATTTGTAGTCATTGATAAATTTGTAGTCATTGCAACACTCTGAGCATTAGTTACAGCAGGCAGGGGCTTTTTCCACATTACTTGCTGGGTGGTTGCAAACAATCGTTATACAAATTTTAGGAAACACTTGAGAAAGATAGAAACGATGCATAGAAATGGTTAGGAGTTCAATGTCAAGCGTACACACTCTCACACATGATATTTTGGCTCAACTGGTTATTTACTGTTCGACAGACTCCTGCACTAAAATGTTTACTTGAGGTCTGTCCAGGAAATATAGTGAAAACCGTTCATGCTTAAAATCATCAATCAATTTAATTGATACATACATTTTCTATAAAACTGCTCTGGGATATCACTCCAATCATCAAGGATATGTTTGTTAGCTGGTCTTACCACAGAAAGCCATCAGTATTTTTTTTTGTTCTGGGAAATTTTTCAAAGACTGCTACAGTACCATATTCAGTGCTTACAGTTGACCAAAAATAAATTACTTGACATTTTTATTTATGACTCTAAGACACTTAAATACTTTAATAATAATTGCTTATACTTATATAGTGTTTTTCTGGACACTCCACTCAAAGCACTTTTACAGATAATGGGGACTCCCCTCCACCACCAATGTGCAGCATCCACCTGGATGTTGCAACAGCAGCCATAGTGAGCCAGAACGCTATCAGCTATCCGTGGGGAGGAGAGCAGAGTAATGAAGCCAATTTATAGATGGGGATTATTAGGAGGCTATGATTGGTAAGGGCCAATAGGAAATTTGGCCAGGATACCGTGGCTACACCCCTTCTCTTTTTGAGTAACGCCCTGGGATTTTTAATGACCACAGAGAGTCAGGACCTCGGTTTTACATCTCATCCGAAGGACGGCGCCTGTTTACAGTATAGTGTCCCTGTCAATATACTGGGGCATTAAGACCCACATGGACCGCAGGGTGAGCGCCCCTTGCTGGCCCCACTAACACCTTTAAGCACAGTGGATAACTGTGACATAACTCATTCCTGCCGTTAGTCACCGCCATGTCACTAAACCAGATCACTAGAAAAAGATAAACATGTGCATACAACCAAAAAATACATACTTTGGCCTATATTGCTTTGAAGGTGCACCCGTAGGTTATTATATAACACAAACATTAAAATCAGAAGTTCAGAATGTCTTTAAAATACAAACTTATTATTTTGTACAAACACTTTTACAAACACAGGTAAAGGTTCAATATATGCTGAAAGGTAAAGAAAAGAAGCACAATATTTCAATTGCTGAGCCTTCTTCAGGTGTGACAGAGTGAGCAGTAAATAAATAAGGTAAATGAGAACAAAGGACAGATCAGGTGAGAAGGGACTGGGACCAGGGGAGAAATGGGCATAAAGCAGGTGAGAATGACTGTTCAACAGAACAGGAGGAGAGGTACTTTATGGAAAGGTGAAATCTGCAAATGATTAGAGAGGATTTAGAAGGGGATGAGTCTGTTGTTTAGAGAAGGAAGAATGTGTAATCCGAGTTTTTTTAACTTTTTAGTTAGTGATGAAAGGGTTTACAAACACAATAACCAAAACAGCAGAATAAACATTTGCCTTCATCTAACATTTCTGCCACATTGTATATATAAAATTAACTATTTTCACTATGCCAGCAGGTATGGAGGGCCATACAAAAAAACAATTGTCTGATAAGAAACACAAAAAACAATAAAAAAGTCTACACATAGATATCACTGCATATTTTCTCATAAACTAGAATCAGGTCCCTGTTGAGAGATAAATTGAATCCATGTTTCCCAGTATTTGCTTAACCGCTCTGCCTGCAATCAGAGAGAAAAAGTTATTTTTCCATTATATAGATCTCATTCACAACATTAACCCATTGTTCATGTGCTGGAGGTTCTTTTATAAGCCATTTTCGTATAATTACTTTTTTACTAGCTGCTAGAAGAATCCTGAATATATACAGTATCTATCCTTTACTTCAATATCATCAAAGTCGAAATTGCCCAAGTAAATGACAGAAAATTCAAATGGTATATTCATATTTACTAAATTATTAAGAGTTATATGTATACATTTCCAGTATTGGTGTATTTTTGAGCATGACTAAAATATGGGTGAATGAGTCGCATCTTGCTCTCCAACACTGTGAACTGCTGCCTTTTTGTTTGGCTTGAATTTTAGGGCTGATAAAAAACCGGGTCAAATTCTTCCAACAAAACTCTCTCCAAGTCTGTGAACTTGTAGAGCCCTGTTAAAATCTACACATATAAATCCACTGATCCATAGAAATTGTTGTGTTGGTTTCTTTTTCTCATTTTGCTTTAATATATTCTATTGAGCCTTTTTTCATATATTCAATACTACTGTAATAATAATAATAATAATAATAATAATAATAATAATAATAATAATTGCTTACACTTATATAGCGCTTTTCAGGACACTCCACTCAAAGCGCTTTACAGGTAATGGGGACTCCCCTCCACCACCACCAATGTGCAGCATCCACCTGGATGATGCGACGGCAGCCATAGCGCGCCAGAACACTCACCACACATCAGATATCAGTGGGGAGCAGAGCAGAGTAATGTAGCCAATTCATAGACGGGGATTATTAGGAGGCCATGATTGGTAAGGGCCAATGGGAAATTTGGCCGGGGTTACACCCGTACTCTTTTCGAGAAACGCCTTAATGACCACAGAGAGTCAGGACCTCAGTTTTACGTCTCATCTGAAGGACGGCGCCTGATTACATTATAGTGTCCCCGTCACTATACTGGGGCATTAGGACCCACATGGACTGCAGAGTGAGCACCCCCTGCTGGCCCCACTAACACCTCTTCCAGCAGCAACCTTAGTTTTTCCCAGGAATACCATCCAGGTACTGACCAGGCTCACACCTGCTTACAGCTGTACAACTTTGATATTATTTTTTTCAAAATAACTTGCTGATATGCAGCTGCAAAATTATCTAGTAATTTATTGCTTTCCTTTATACATGTCTGCTTTCTCCAGCTATTTAAATAATGTCTAATTCTATAAAAATCTTCGTTTTCCAGATTATAGTGTTGTGATAGATCTTCAAAGTTTTTCAGATGGTCTTGTTTCATCATAGTACATATTGCTGTAATCCCTTTTGTAGCCCAAATCTTAAACTGTGTAAATCAGAAGCTATCCATCTTAATAGTTTTACCTCTATCTCCAAGTCACAGGTTTTTATTATCTTAATCCAGATTTTAATTGGTAAATTTATCCAAGGTATGCCTTTTTATATATAATTTTTGCCAAAGATCTATCTCCCAGGACCATCTGTATTGGGAATTCACCTATAATCAAAGACACAATCTCTTTCCATTTTGCAGTATAATATCCATCTCACCAACATCTAAATGTTCTAAGCTAAGCTGCTTGGTAGTATGACTTTAGACATGGTAGGGCAAATCTACCCTTCCCCCTGGACAATTGTAGTGTTTTAAACCCAATTCATGGTTTCTTTCCATTCCATATGAATCTTGAAATTCCACTGGAAGAAACTGAAAAAGATCAGTTTTAAAAGATAATTGTGGCAGAATATTAATTTTAATTACTTCTACTCTTAATCCCAATGAAAGAGGTATCAGACACCAACCAGCCAGATACTCTTTTATTTTACATATTAGAGGACTGAAATTTGAATTGAATAATTTTCATAAATTCCTTGGCAAATATACTCCCAAATACTGTACTTATTAGAGGATGATAATCAATTAAACTTAAATTTTTCTTTTACTTGATCCATGGGGTTATAATTATGACATAGAACAGATGGAACATCTGTTTTTTCTATATTTAATTTGCACCCTGATAGCTGACCAGATTTTTCCAAAAGATCCATCACTCTGATAAACGATTCATTGGGGTCATCCAAATATAGCAGGACATCACCTGCATACAATGTAATTGTATGTGCTTGTCCTTTAATTTCTATACCTTTTTAGGCCTTGTCTAATCCACTCTGCTAAGGGTTTTATATATAGAGAAAACAAAAGAGGTAACAGGGGACATCCCTGTCTTGTACCTCTTTTCAAACAAAATCTCTTAGACAGATGTCCATTGATTTTGATTTGTGCTATAGGATTTAAATAAATTGTTTTTATTATGTTGATAAATTCATCAGCAAATCCAAATCTCTCCAATGTCTGATATAAAAATTCCCAATTAACCCGATGAAAGGCTTTTTCTGCATCTAGGCTGACTAAAATCGCTTCCCTCCTTTGATCATTAATATGCCTCATAATATGAAGGGTACGTCTAATATTGTCTTGCGTTTGTCTGTTCTGAATGA